TACGATTAAGTTTTTCAACGAACGCTGAATATTTAAACCATCTAATGTAATTGTGAGCAACTTGGCTCAATTGTTTCAAACCATCAATATTTGGAAGAGTTTTGGTTGGAATTTGAGTCATAAGAAGATCAGCAATCAGGCCATGATAAAAGGCACAAGCAAACATCCCCAGTTTATAGGTCCAGCTGCGAGAATGTTCATGATATAAACCACAATCTGGTCCATGTGATATTTATGGAAAACTTGGACGTTTTGAGGTATTTTGTCCTAGAATATGTCCCCTAATTTCCAAGGTGGGGCAAACCTTTGACAGGGTTTGATTAATATAAGATTGGAAAATAAATTCAAGAATTTTGTTAGGCTGTTTTTAAACATAGAATATATTTTTAACGTACTCAGCATTTTTTGTATTTAGATATCTTTGAATTGCAATACAAAATTTTTTAAACAAAGGCATTTTTGGTCATTATGAAGTATAGAATGGATATTTTATAAAAACAAATTAATAATATTTTATTAGTGGTTAAAAATCTATTAATGCGTCATGTGGGTGATGTCACACATCATGTCGATGATGTAATTGTCTACTATATATTAATAAATATTTTATCTCTATTAATAATTTCTATTTTACCATTACTTAATTACGTAAAACACCCCTAGACAAAAAGTTACCGACATTTTAAGATAAAGTGTCTAAAAAGATTTATTACATTAAATATATACTCTATGTTTAGGAGTAGCCTTACAAGCCCTAAATTCAATGAGTAGAAAGAGAGAGAGTACTTTATCTTTCAATCTCACTTGCTTATTGCTTGAAAAAAATGATCATTACACCAAAAGAAAGGTTGTTGCCTTCTACAAGCACTCTACTTGAGCTTTACACCAAAAGAAAGGTTGTTGCCTTGTGCAAGCACTCCACACTTTTTTTCTCACTCTACACACTTTATCTCTTTCTCTCTCATACTTCTCACTCCACCGTCTCTATACTCTCTACAGACTCACTGTGCACGCTCTCTCTACAAACTAGTATGGCTCTCTCGTGAAAGAATTTTATCATATGATTAAGTGTAAGAATATTTTTATATCACTTGGTCTTAGTGCATCTTTTCACACCAATTGACAACTAATTGATATAAAAAGATTCCCATACTTAACCATATGAGAGAAATTTTTCATATGAAAATATTCTTCGTAAAACAATTTCATACGAACCAAACGTGCCATAAATAAGATGAACCTTTTTTTTCAAAGTAGTAGGCTCTAGGTTCTCTTATTTTCAATCCATTATTATTTTATTTTATTTTCCTTTTATGTATTCCCACCATTTTTGACATGTCTCACCAAATTCAATGTAGAAATTTCTTTTATTTTTGGGTACATTTTTTTTTTGGGTAAATCAATGGGGATAACGAGCCCCTATCCATTTTGTTTTTACTAATGAACAGAAGAAAAAGGTCACATCACAGAGGAGAACATGCACAAAAATTAACCAGACCTTTCAAGAAGGACATAGCATTATCCCGTGAAATGAAAAGAGTGACAAAATCAGGGGTACGGGCCTGCCAAACTGCGGCTTGCATCATGAATGCCACTTTCTCAACAAGGCAATCAGCAATTAGATTCACCTCCGAGAATACATGCAATATCTGCCACTGGCGATCTGCGAAGGATGAGAGCTTTGCTCTATAGTTGGACAAGATGATGCAAGCGTCCATAGGGGAGAGTTGTGGCAGGTGAGTGAGTCAATTAGCAAATTGGAGTCACTCTCAATGATATGAGCGCGACAATCCATCTCATGCGCCAAGGAGATGCCTCAATCCAAAGCATAGAATTCAGCGACATTATTGGAGCTGGTTCAAGAGGGACTGCAAAGGCCACTATGAAGCCACATGTGTCATTTCTGATGATCCTCCCACATCCCGTGGTGCCTAAGTTTTAAAAGGACGAGCCATTGATGTTGAGTTTAAAATACCATATGGGTGGAAGAGACCATGCGATCAGGACTGAAGTGGACGGAAAGCGATATACTACTTGAGCTTGAGGTTTGTGGAAATATAAAGCTCACAGGGGTGGAAAGCCCAACCCTTAGCATATGTTAACTTGCTCATAAAGTTAATGATGTGCCCGAAGAGGTTTGTAAGTTTGGAGAAGTTCGTAAGTTTAATTTTCCGAACACGTAATTGGCCTCTCTGTCTTCTAAATATGCCTTTGCCTCACGAAGAATGGGGCAGAGCCCCATGAGTTGACATGTTAGGATGAAAGCGTGCCAAATACTTCAATACAAACTCCATCTTAAGAAAGATTCTCGAGAGCGATCGAAGAAACCACTAATTCTTTTTTTCACCTCATAATAAATAAATTAGTTAAAGAACAATTGTTTCATGCCGGCGGGACCACATTTCTATAATATGCAATTCAGAGGTTTATTGCATCCATTTTAAAAATGGATGCAAATAGGTGATTCATTTAAAAACAATTGTAACTAATAGTTCAAATGTTTTTTTAATATAATAATTATTTTAATTTTTTATAATTTATTTATTTTTTTATATTCATGATCTTTTTATTAAAAATTATGTATTCTCTAAAAATTAAATTATATTTAACATTATATTTATTACCAAGCTCGCATTTCTACACCATGCGGGCTGGCCGCATGCTAACCACCGCGTCCTTAGGAAAGATTCGTGCTAGATATTCTCCCCGACCGCTTGTACATGAGGTATCCATATATTTGGGCTGGGGTTACATCCAATTTGTACTTTGGACATTGGCACGCTCCCGCCGTCACGTCCCCTCCCCTCCCCTCCAGCTTGTATGAGAGTGACTCTCTACAATAATAGGTAATTTTGCAACTATCATGGCATGTTACGTACACAAAAGCACCTCAACGGCAAACACATAATGAAGAAAACGTCATTTACAGTGGTTTCTCATATTTTTACTCTAAATTATGAATATTTCAAATTCACACACCATTTTGTAATCATCTTAATTCTATATTTATTGATTTTTGCGCTATCAAATATACCATCTTTTTTTGCCTTGTCCTCTGACCAATCACATTTGGGCATGGCCTTTTAGTCAGTTTGGTTGCTCTCTGGTTTAAATTGGTGGATCTCCTCTAGTATGTGGCATTTCTTCTGCTTGATTGTTATTTGGATGTTTTGGGAGGATCGCAATCATCGGATCTTTCAAGAGAAGGTTTCTAAGAGAAACCACTTATTAGGAGGATTACTTTGTGTGTTATATAGATGGTGATTACTAAAGCTCTTCTACATATTTGAAAAGGTCATAGTAGATAATCTTCATATCACTTGGAGGCAAGAGAAGACGAAAACCTCTATCTCGGTTGCATGCTCATCTCCTCGCCCAGGCCATTTCAAACTCAATGTTGATGGAGCTTCTTTACAAACCCAGAAGTGCAGGTGGGGGTGGTGTCATAAGAGGAGAAGATAGATTTTTTATTGCTGCCTTTGCACAGCCCCTTGGAGTTGCATCAAATAATTATACTAAGTTTCATGTTTTGCAAGTCGGAGTGGGTCTCGCCATTGAGTTAGATTGTTTCTCTCTATAAATTGAAAGTGATTTATATCTACTTGTCAATGCTATACGAGATAGATGCAAGGCCCCATGGCATCTTCACATTGTTGCTGCTAACTGCAGGCAAAGACTTATTGAATGAGTGTGATACCAATATGGTGAGGTCTCACATATCTATCGTGAGGCCCATATGGTGGTTGACATCCTTGTTAAAAAAGGCACGGTTTTTTCTGATGCTACCATTTAGCGCACTAGACCACCTTATTATATTTTCTTTCCATTACTTCATGATGTTGCGCAATTATTGTATCGAAGATCTATAAATTTATGAGTTATATTTCTGTTTATTATTATTTAATGAAATATGGGTAGGGAGCTTTCTCCCCCAGACTTACCTAAAAAAAAAAGAAATTTGGTAGGCATCATTGATCATTTGAACAGATGATTACCATCTAAGAGATTATCATCTACGGGAAGAATTATTTGGAAAATTTTTATATGTGCGATGCTTTTGGAGCAGAGCAGAGAGAGAAATAGGATACCCTTTGAGGCTCAATTTTGGGTGCAGATAGAATCAGAGAAATCTCACAATCTCTTTAGAGTTGGTATTTGATCATTAAGGTAACGGTGTCTCACGAGTTGATATCTTCTTAAATCTGAAGAACCTTGTTAATAGCTTTGTGCCAAAAATTTGACCTTATGTATCTAGAAAACTTTGTTTGAAAGCTCTTTTAAATTAAATTTTGATAGAAATTCTTTGGGGAACTTGGGAGCAGTAGGTCTAGGGTCTCTGACCAGAATATCATTTTCTTTTATATTGATCCTTTTGGGATTAGAACAACAAATCAATATGAACTATGCTCTCCCTTGCATGGTGTGATGATTATCCAGAATAAGGGGATTGTTGGTGTGATATTGGTGGAAGGTGGCTTCCTTAATCTTATCAAGTGGTGAAAAGGTCTTTGGGCTTTAGTTCTTTCTGTTTGAATATCTTAGACATTTGTGGCAGTTTGAATGTTTCGTTTTCTCATGCGCACCGTGAGGCAAATGAGATCGCGGACCGTCTTGTTAATCTTGGTAGTTCTTTACCATCTCTCATTGTCTCTCATGATTTGAATTCCGCATTGTAATTGTTGTTCTTTGATAGTTAATAATATTTTTATGGGATTATATACAATGAGACTATTTACCATTGATATAAAGTGGTCAAAACTACTTACAACCATCTAATGTCAAATTTGATAGCTTTGATGTGTCACAAAACTCAAAAAAATTTCTTTTAAAGTTTGAGCTTGGTCAATGAAAAAATTACAGCCACCCAATTTTACATCCAACGGTCAAGATTAATGTAACCACTTTATACCAAAGGTAAATGGTCTCATTCTATACTTTCCCTATTTTTATTGACTTTGTCAAAAAAAATATATTAACTTTTTATACAAGTTTCATACAAATGAAAATAATATTGTCAGAATACTAAAGAAAGCCATTGTTTTTTTTGTTTACAAGATCACAATGACTTTATTACTCAATCAGTCCAACGATTACAGTGAAGGGATGAAAAATACAACAATTAAAAGGATAAGGGATTGAGCACCAAAGACGAGCCCAATAGTCCATCCTTAGCAAGCGAGCCTGCCCTCTCATTCGATTCCATAAAGACATGATTGAAAGCCACTACCTTATTGCGACAAATATCCAGAGCTTCTAACCAAAACCTTCTCATGCTCCAAGGTGACTTACTAGATCCGGACATCCAGTTGATAATATTAAGAGAATCCCCTTCTACCATGCATGCAAAATGATCACGGCTTTAAACCTTGAAGCATAACGAACATTTATACTAAAGAGAGCTATTGAAGCCTTTTGGAATATTCAATCAATCCAATGAATATTTGATTTCTTTTTCAACTGATTTTCTTTCTACATCACAAAATAATTTGTCCTTCGCTCACTTCAACAATGGCTCTTTCAAACTCACTGAAAGACATGCCTCTTCATCTTGGCCTTGAGATAACCTCGTCCCAACCTGGTCTTCTCTTCCTCCTCCCCCAATTTTCACGTCCATGGCTTTGCCCCACAACACACAATAAAGCCCAGCAATAACTAAAGCAATCCCAATTACACTGCACAAGGAGAAAATCCCAAATGAGAATGCATACCCTGAATATTAATGGGTTGAATGAAATTCATATTGGAAATTCATTGAAATATTCAACATAGTTATAAGAGAAAATTACAAAAATCCCTCAAATAGGCACTTTTGAGACAACCTACCCCCAACAAAATTTTTTAGTAACATTTACCCCAAATTGATCCTAGCAAATAACCCCAAGTCAAAAAAGTCATATTTTTTTTTTTTATGAAAATGCCCAAAATGTTGGATCGCCCCCATTTTGTGCCGGACCATATGCCCAAAGTGTTAGTTTGCTCCTATTTTGTGTCAGACTGCATGCTTTTCAAAAGCCCAATGTGTCGGACCGACCCCATTTTGTACCAGACCACATGCCCAAAGTGCCAGACCGCCCCCATTTTGTGCTAGACCACATGCTTTGCATAAGGTATTTTGGTAATTATTTTACGTTTGAGGGTGTTTGTTAAGAAAGTTAAATTTGAGGTAAAAATTATTAAAAAATAAAAATAAAACTGGGTTTGGAGAAGTTGTTTAGAACGTATGATTTTTAGAGGGTTTTTGTAGTTTTCCCTGGTTATAACTATTTTTTTAAAACTTAGAATCCCGTTTTGAATTGATCATCTCTCTAGTGAGGCAAGCTGGATCAACCGACTTGGGGAGTCATGATCGGCCGAATAGTAGAAAATAGTAATATAAAAACAAAAGTCGGGGCAAATCGGGTGATTCATGTGCCACAGACATGAATTGCCCATCAACAGAAGCCGAAGCGGATCGCCGATTTTTAAAACCATAGAAAAAAGCACACCTGGTATAGAAAGTGAAATATTTACCTTGCAATGTAGATATCAACTGGGAAAAAAAGGGGCTCAAGGATTGCGACTATAACGGTGCACACAGGAAAGAATGAGGAAGCAAAGATGGGTCCTTTCCTCTTGATGCACCAACTTTGAATAAAGAATTGAAAGGCGGTGCACAATACACCCTGTTCAATTAAAAACGTAAAATGTCAAACGTCATAGTTCCATATGATTGGTTTTCCTCTACACACTCTCCCTTATTAAAAAGGAAAAACGAAAAAAGTCGAACTCAATAAAAAAAGAACTTTTTTTTACCAATTCTTAATAAATTTCCTAAAAAATATACAAATGTTTTCCCAATAATGTTTATTGGGGCATGTGCTAACTGTGAAATTATAGCAACAGACGAATATTGTCTGTACAATATTTACTAATTTCACACCAACTAAAGAAATGAAACCAAATGATACAATAATGGGTTTTAGAATGCCATATTAGCACTAAGTTTCCACAAAGTCAACGTAGTAGAATAGCTATAATTCTTTTAGCAACCTTTACAATTACTCTTAAATAAACAAGTACCCCAAATGCTCATTCTATTCGAATGCCACATCGGTTTTAAGGCCTAGCGCATCATGCTGCTCGCCCACTACACAGAAATAATATCAAATTTTAAGAAATGGAGGAGAGATTGATGTAAAATTTTAAAGTAATCTACGTTTAGACCCTAAAATTTTAGATAACATAATGCTCCGTTTTCCAAAATTGCCTCTCGGTCAACTTGATTTTTTTTATTTTTTTTAGTTTTTTTGGTTAGTAGAATGCCTCAAGCTTTAAGGCACTGCTCTACTAATGAAAAAAATTTGTTTAAAAAAAAAACTAAAGGAAAAATCAAAATTCAGGTTGACCAAAAGGCAACTTTGAAAAAAAAAAAAAAAAAGGTTAGACCGACCTTTGTCATTTTCGTCTATAAATAGAGTATTTTGTATTTTACCTAAAATTTTAAGATCCATGCCGCATGCGAAAATCACTCAAAATTTTAAGTACATGCAATATCCATTAACGAAATATTTTATAAGGAATTTTTGGCATTAATCAATTTGAAAAGGGCATCTGTGTCAAAGCAAAAAGTGCTCGTCTCCATTTTTGGGTGAGAAATGGTAAAAAAGTTTATATAAGGTTGCTCTGTTGAGGTAAGGTTAGAAATAAATGTTTCGAAGTTGGAAAACCTTTCAATTCATCATCTTGATCGGGAGGTGTATTGACATAAAGAAAAAAAATGAATTTCAAATCTTAAAGATGGTGTATATCGAAACAAGTTATTTGGACCATTTATTTTTTAGATTTTCAAGTGTTCGAGATACACTCGATCTGCATCTTTTTTAAAATTTTAAATTTCATAATTAGGATTGAACATGAATTTCAAAGCCACTAAAAGATTTCCAACTCCGAAACTATATCTTTCGGCAAAGTTCATAGGTGCCCTGCCATGTATAATATAAGGTGGGCACTTTTTACAAACATCACTCTTTTATTTTTGCATATTTTGATATGTTATAAATATGATAATTAAATCCTACAAGGAAATCTTAAAGAAGATATACAACGAGTAAAGATTGTCTGCTAAGAATTATTAAAGAGGAATAAAGGTGAAAAAAGCTTAATGCTTTGGTGGAAATTTACATCCGTGTTTGTATATGGTTAAAAATTTGAACTGGTTGGCAAAAGATTATTGAAGTATTGTAAAGTCAATAACTTAATTGTATGTGGGGAAAGAATGGACATGTATGTACGATATCTCACTCTCACAACTTACAAATTTTGAAAGTATTTGTACAATCCATTTTTCATCTCATGAAAGGACTTTTCAAATAAAAAACTGGGATAAAAATGTTTATTCAGGATTATTGAAGCAGATTGTTCCCTCAGTGATTTGCGATAAAGACCATCCTTTCAAATAAGGGTGCAGTTGGCATACAGATGCATCCATAGGTGTAGACGTAAGGTGCACCTTCAAATTTTATCATGGTATATAATTTTGATCAAAAATGGTTTTAGGATTATTTCAATATCTATTTTTATATCCAATTATAAAATTTTAAATTTCAAAAATAGTTAAAATCAAGTAGATTTATAAACATATGAAAATCTTGAAAATAGACAGTGTAGATAATATGTTGTAAAATGCACTAGTTTTAAGACTTAAAATCTTTTTATTTTTCATAGTCATACATCTCGATGTCGAGATAATCAATCAAAAGGTTTTTCAATATTGAAACTACCTTTTTTGATGGATTTTTGAGGTGCATCCGTAGTTCTGCATTATAAGGTTGTATCCTTATATAATTTTTTCCTTGAAATAAAGAAGATTTTTATTTCTCTTTAGAATAATTTACATACAAACCTTAAAATTGTTTCTAAAATACGGAATGCTCTATCTATAGGAAAAGTTACAATCAAGGTTGACTAACCTGCTTGTTTTCATTTTTTCCAAAATTGCCGTTAAGTCTGAGGATGGAATCCTCGGTATGATTTTGTTTCTTTTTTGTATTAGATAGGCAGTGCTTCAAGTTTTAGGGTAGTGCGCTCCTAACTAAAAAAGGTAAAAAAAATAAATAAATAAATTATTTAATGAATTAAAAATTGATTGAGTATGTCCTCGGACGGAAGGCAAATTTTTTTTGAGAAAAAATGGTTGATTAACCTTTTTTTGTAATTTCCTCCAATAAATATTTTAAAAAACATTTTAGAGTTTGCACGTAAATTACTTCTCTGTAAACAATATATATAAACACAGAAAAATAAATTTTAAATTTAGCTTCTCACGCTGTATATGTAGCACACTAGCTTTATGTCAAAATTCAATCTCCAAGCTGTCACATCATCAAGTAGGAGGGCAATTACAGCTGTCGGGAAAATGCCCATGAAGCACATAAGTGCAGTCAATGATAGTGGAGCTGGATAGCTCCTAAATGCCCATGCCTGTAAAAGATAAATTTAAATGAAAAAAATAATCAAGGAAAAATAATGTGAGTTCATCTACAAGAAAAGTTTGAAATACCCAAAAACAAATCAAGAAAGATAACAATTGCTTTTGGGCTTGAGTTGACAAAGCTACCAAAAAAAACAAAAAAATCAAAAGAAATCCACAATGGCGAAAATATTCGAGTTCACAGTGGAGGTATTGACCTGATAATTGATCCATGCAGACCAAGCTAAGACACTTCCAAAAATAAGAATTGGCCCCAAAACCCAATTACTTTCTGGTGATTTTGATGCACCAAAGAGCAATAACACAGAATTGTTTGTCTTGAGGTGATGGAATATTTTAATTGCTGGACCCTTGGCAAGAGTCATGATCATGGCCCCCGCAACACATGTAACTGTACCCAAAACCTTTGCTTTTCCCTTGATTGTCTTGATATCAAATCTCTCCAATCTAAAGTAATACAAAGAGAATGGAATGCACATTACTGAACTTTAGAAAGAGAAACTAGTGAAATCCAACATATTAAACATAAATGAATAGGTGAATATAAGTGAGGAATTTACCTTAGGATGAGAGCCATAACAAAAGTAATGGCAGGGATGAGATTAGCAATGGTGGAAACAAAGGTGGAAGAGGTGTAGTAGAGAGCACCAAAATAGCAATTCTGATTAATCGCGATCCTGAAAATTTTAGGATTCAGTATTAGGATTAGAACTCATTTATAAGAATCAATTTTGGCAACTACCCACAAGGGGAAGATTGGGGTTTACCCTAAGATGGAGAGCAGGAAGATGCCTGTAGCTGCTTTTAGGTTCAATGGAGGCCGTTTATCACTGTAATTCACATTCCAAGCATTGAGATAAGGCCAACATCGAAGAACACATAAAACACACACATACACAGACATATGGATAGAGAGAGAGAGAGAGAGAGAGAGAGAGCAATTACACAGGCGAGCCAACCCAGACGTGCCGCATAACTCGTGGCTTGCCCAGTATCTGGGTTTGGTGGACAAGGGATCTTAAAAAAGAATTCAAAAAATTTTATAAAAAAAAAAAAATTTGTAATATATCTTTTTATGTTTGCTATCATTTTGGCAAAGATTGGAAAGTGTTCCGCCATGAATACTTTTATTTATTTATATATATATATATATTTATTTTTTTATTTTCTTTTTTTTAAATACCCCCAAATTTTTTTCAGAATCTATCTTTAACTACTTTTTTGGCTTGGCCAAGACCTGCCAAATTGGGACCGAGTCAATAAGACTCGATCGGAGTTACTTGGACTCAGCCCAAGGCCTGATGCTAGGACCAAGTCTTTCTTTTTCCATGTTCGGACTTAAAAAGAGGGATCAACCGAAAAAAAAACCTTTTTTTTTTTTTTGGTTGAAAAAAAAAAAAAGGGATCTAAACAAAATAGATAAAGACTAAATAGTGAATGAAAAAAAAAAACAAAAAATACACTTCAACTTCAAAAAAATAATGGTATAATATCGATAGAGAGAGAAAAAAAGAAAGGTACCTTTCTAAGAAGCAAGCGAAGGGTGCCAAGAACAACGTTGCGGTAATGGATCTATAGGTGACAAAGACGTAGGGACTCATCCCCTCTGCATAAGCAACCTTAGTCATGAGGTACATGCCTGTCAGAAAAAACTGCACCATCACTTGAGCAACTACAGGGATCAAATCCTCCATTTCCCCCCTCCCCTCTCTCTCTCTCTTCCTGATGGTGGTGGTGCCTTGCAATCCACATAGCATTTATACTCTTCATTTTCCAAAACATTTTTAATCACCAACCCATATGGCCCATTCCTCAAATAACGTAACCCTCTCTCTTTCTCTCTCTCTCTCTCTCTACAGGTCAAAGGAGGCTGGAACATTTAATAGAAATACGTGGGGTGCATTCACATTGTATCAAAAGAGCTGGCCCGTGGGACATAGGATATGTTTTTTAAATCATATGGACGGATAGGATTTAGAGGATAACGTTGGCATCAAGTGACTAATCACCGTTCATCTCTTCCACGTGGTGGATATCGACACTAATAAAAATGTTGTAAGCGCCATTCTAGATTTGTGTCACGTGCTTTCAGCGCGACCAAATCGTGTGGAAGTTGTTCACAATGGACGACGCGGTTCATCGTCATCCTGTGCCTTTCCAAAGGTTTTTTTAAGAGTAGCACTAAAAATGTGCTCCCTTAGGATCCTATAATGTGTACCAACTCCCTCAAACAAAATATTGGAAGGATTTTTTCATTTTAAAATTTTGGGAACAACCTAAGATCAGTACATGATTATTTTCAAAACAAAACATTTGAATTTTTAGTTTTTGACACTTGGATCTTGCCTTTTAGAATTTGGACGGTCTTTGTTCAATCTTGAGACATTATCATTTTTCAGTACAAAGAAAGTTCAATTCGGAATTTTTTTTGCTGAGATTAGTTCTAGTTGAAGCAATTACAACCCCAATATTTAAGTTTCTAAGATTAGTCCAATATTGGGGTTTACCAAATGGAGTAAATGGACATTGTACTCTAATGGGAATAAAAAAATCTTTGGCCTTTAAAGAATATCAAATATCATGCCAGTCTCAAAAACATTATGAAGGCGATCAAATTAACTCATTAGGTGACGCTTACATGAGCTATTTAAATAAGGCACCAAAATATTCTTGGTGTGAAAAGCGTTCTGATTGCGTGAAAATCTATTGTCATCAATAATAATGAAATTTAAAGTTTAAAATTTGATGCAGATCAAGTAGACCTATGAACATTTTTTAATTTTGAAAATGAGCAGTCCACTAAATTTGTGTTAGATGATGCACTACTTCATAACTTAAATTTATTATTTATATATATATATATATATATATATATATATATATAT